ACATGTCCCAACCAACGCAGCTTCTGGTGCTGGACACATTCTTCAATGGAAGTACCCGTTACACAACCGAATACGCGCTTCCTAACTTCCTCGTTACGGAATCGCCGACACCAACAACGATTGTCGAACACCTGAAGACGTCTCGGGTCCGCTGCTCGAATAGGCCAAGTCTCACAACCATACAACAAAACGGCCCTTACTGTAGCTTCATGCACACATCCCTTCAGATTCTGACGCCATAGGTGTCTGAAGTTAGCAAAGGCTCCACAACTTCTAGTGCCTTTCCCTGGATTGTAAGTGGCGTGTTCAGTGACTGCACGTCCACAAGCATGACCTTACACTTTGTGGGTGCAAAGTGCATACCAAAGGACGGGATGACTTTGGTCAGTTCATCCAAGAATACTTGCGCCTTTTCCTCCTCTTCGAACATGAGAACGATGTCGTCTGCATATTCCAGATCGACAAGGTTTTCTTCACTGGCTATTTGAACACCAGGGTTTTGGAGACCCTCCAGCGTTCGTCTCACTATTTCATCGATCACAAAGTTGAAAAGGAATGGAGAGAGTGGGCATCCCTGACGGACACCGCTTTGTGCGCGGAAGCTTTTGGAGAGCTCTCCGTACACTCTCACACGTCCGGAAGTCCGAGAATAAGAACGTCGTCTGCGTATTCCAGATCGACAAGGTTTTCGTCACAGGTTATTTGAATACCAGGGTTTTGGAAACCTTCCAGCGTTCGTTTCATGATTTCATCGATCACAAAGTTAGACAGGAATGGAGAGAGTGGGCATCCCTGACGGACACCACTTCATGTACGGAAACTTTTGAAGAGCTCTTCGTACACTCTCACACGTCCGGAAGTTTGGGAACACAAAGAACTCATTATGTTCACGAAATTACGGGGCACTCCTTGGTGGGCAAGCGTGTCGAGCAACGCAGACCGGTCAATCGGGTCAAATGCGCCTTGGAAATCCAGGAACACTAGAATTGTGGGTCACTTACACGCACAGCGTTGTTCTAGCACTTGACGCAGTGTGAAGATTTGGTCAACACAACCCCTACCAGGCCGAAATCCCGCTTGCTGCTCTCGAGTCAGTGTCTCACGAGCCACCGTAAGGCGACGAAGCACAATTGACGCCAACAGTCTCGTTACGACCGGGGTCAAGCTGATCCCCTTGTGGTTACCACACTCACTACGCGCTCCTTTTTTGAAAACGGACACTATCTCCGATTCTTCCGATTTGTCTGGGATAAACTCCTTTTCCCAAATGCAAGTAAGGAGTTCGGACAAGCACTGACTGAGGACTTAAGCCCCGTCTTTGAACAGTGCGGAAAGGAGGTCATCCGGACTAGGAGCTCGGTGGCACTCGAGAGATTATATGCAGCCGTAAACCTCCGAGGCCGTAGGTGGTCCTACGTTTACCGTCCAAGGTTCTAATTCACCTGTGGGCTCTAGACGAGTATCGGCTGGTGGCCACGACAGTTGTTGTTCGAAGTATTCGGCCCATCGGTGGAGGCATTCTTCTTTGTTCGAGATGGTCGTTCCATTCTGGTGTTTGATAGTTTCACTCACAGGTGGTTTCCGGGGACCGGTCGCACGGATCAACTGAAATTATCTCCAGGCATTACCGGCTTTCTGGGCCTCTTCCATTTCTTTGGCTTTCTGTGTCCACCATACTTCGCGGTCGGATCGCAAGCTCACTTTCACTTGACGTCTAATAGCTCTTCCCACCCGGTTATGTTCGGGACCGGCTGGGATAATTCTTCGAGATTTAAGTAGTGCCACCGTTCGGTCTGATAACCAGTGCTTGGGTGCGCCTGGTTGGGTCGTGCCACAGGCAAAATTCCCAGCACTATGAAAACAGGTGGCAATCTCGTCCCAGTATGAGTTCACATCTGATGGTGGAGCACTTGGAAGAGACTCTAGAAGACGATTCTTGTAAGTTCGTCTGACATCCGGATCTGCGGGCCCCTGAATTGCCAAGCGATTTGTCCGAACCTTAAGTGGCCATGGAAAAAAGAGAATCGACTTTGGACGAGCGCGTGGTCAGAGTCAACAAATGTGTTCCAAAACGACCGGCAGTCAGTTATGGACCCGCGCCATCGGTAACTGATGGCAATGTGGTCGATTTGAGTTTGTGGCCGGCCTGTTGTCCGAGGACACCAAGTGGCCAGACGACTTCGGCTATTTCGGAAGTTAGTACTGCATAAAAGCAGCCTGCGATTAGCACACAGCTGAAGCAATCGTTCCCCATTGTCCGTACGTACCGAGTCCAGTCCATGTCGACCTCCCAATTGAGTCTCAGATGCATTGAGCCTGTCCACTTGCGCATTCATACCTCCGGCAACCACCACAATGTCTGAGCTTTTAGCTCGCCGCAGCAGAGCATTCAGGGCGTCGTAAAATCGGTCTTTGACGGTGTCAGAGCTACAATCAGTTGGGGCATAGGCAGACACGATGAACAGACATCTATCAACTTGCCGCTTGTGAGAATCCTTCAGACGTTGCCAGGCGAACCGCACAGAGGCGACTATCAACAGGTATCCGGTCAAGTAAGGATACTTCCGCCCGGTGACTTAGCACAATACCAACCCTTGCACATCCCACCGCAGCAGCCTCTGGATCACCAGAGTTGCGTAGCCAGAAGCGAGTGGAGACTGACGGGGCGGCTAACTCAATCACTGTGCTTGCATCTTGAATTCTCGTTTCTGAGACACAGCACACATCAATGCCAAGCGAGTCCAGTGCGAGTGCAAATGCAACCTGTTGTCCTGCTTGTTTCAAAGTGCGGACATTGAACGCGGCCAGATAGACTGGGTGTCGAGGCTTGAGGACTGATTTGGAGATTCCTGAAGATGTCGGCACCGTGTGACGAGCAGATGCTGCACGCAAAACTGACGCATGACGAACGGAGTCATCAGTCCTAAGTGCTGGGCCTACAAGGAGAGAGTTATTAATGGGGTGGGGATGGGGGAAGAAAAAGCATGTGAAGGAGAAAGAAGGGAGACGTCAGCAGTAGCCTGTTTTCGCTTACCCGCCCTGCTGTATGCAGCAAGTAAGGCGACCCGGCTGATGTCACCACGCGACGGCCGATGTGGCATGAATTTATTTGTGTATGTGCATTTCATGGTTGTACGTGGGCTGGGATACTGCCAGGGCGCCCACACCTAGACAGGAGGACGATTAGGGTCCTCATCCAAAGCCTTTGGCTCAAAAGCCTAACCGCAAGGCAGCGGTTTTTGGCGGGAAATGCAAATGCATTACCATTTCTACGGAACAAGTCGCCACATGTTCCAACCCCCAACCTGGAGGGCCAAGAGACTGTGTTCGTCAGACCCCTAACCATTGACCAACCTGGTATGAGAGACTCTGTGAGTGTCGCGGGACACTCTCAAGTATAGCTCAATGAATCGCTGAGGTACGCAAACCGTCACACCACGGTAAGGTCCAGTCTCTTCGTGGCGTCATTGAAGGCGATAGCTTTGATGCGTGAGCACTCTTTACTGCGTGATTGGGTAATTTCCTCCATTGTCATTAACCACTGATGATTTGAGTCCCGAGGTCCCCATCCAGGAAGGCGGCAGTTGCCCACCCGACTAAGTTTTCTGGTTAGTGTTTTCGTACTTCGTTGCCCGCTTATACACTGTCCAAAACTTGGTCGCTTCCGTTCAACACCGGGCCGGGAGAAAAGAGCTCTGTGAGAAGGACGATCTTCTGGCATGAGGAATACATGCCGCAACCAGCGCAACCTATGAAGCGTGAGAGTTCCTTCTTTCTAAGACCATGTGAAGTACCTCAGCACTACTAAGCCAATGTTCCCACCAGACCAGATCAATGCTTCGGAGACACCGATGGTCCAAAACTGACATCTTCCGTACATCCTCTGCGCGTATGGGCCACGTCTCTGATCCATAAGGCAGTATGGATCGCACCACTGCAGTGTAAACTCTTCCACTGACAGGCAAGCTCGCGTCACGTCGGAGATCAGTAAAAGCTGCCCTGGTCTTTTCGATCTCCAGCCAGTCCACCGCAACTTATACCGCTGTCTAGGTAAACAAAAATTTATCTCCACTTCGATTGACTCACCTGAAAGCATGGAGTGTGGATTTGATCCCACTCAGTCTCGTAGCAGCACTTTGCAATTAGCAGCTGTGAAGCGCATGCTAAACCGTGTGGCAGAGTCATTTAGGTGATTTAAAATCGTTTGGATTTGGGGAGGATCTGAACCAAGGAGAGGAATATCGTCTGCATACTCAATGTCTGTGGGGGAACGTCCCGGGAGCATTTCGACTCCCGAGGTTTCAGAGGCAGGCAGAAAAATTTCAAGCAGCATATCAGTAGCAAAGTTGAAGAGAAAAGTGGGAAGAGAACAGACTTGTCTTACACGACCGGACGTGAACCCAGGTGAGAGCCTCCCGTATATTAGTATGCGCCCACAGGAGTTCGCATACAGTGTCTTCATCGGGGAGAGAAATTTGGAAGGGATACCTTTGGTCGCCAGACACTGCCAAAGTTGCTAACGATCGACAGAATCGAAAGCGGCCTTCAAATCAAGAAAACGATCAATGTGGAACGTCTGAAGGAGTGACGCTGTTCAAGAATTTGTCTCAAAGTAAAGATATGGCCGATGCATTCTCGACCAGCTTGATTCTCACGAGCCTGTCACACCCGATAATCTGTCAACCTGCGCAAGGTAATGCCAGAGAGCACTTTAGATGCGACGGATACCAGGATGACGAGCGGGGAGCTCCATTTGGTTGGTACTATGATTTCGTTCCAAATCTGCAGTATGGTTGTCAGACTGTTCATCGGGACCTCCCTACCTTCTTTGAAGAGCGCGGGGCGTAGACCGTCCGGGTCAGGTACCTTGCCGCGCTTCATGATTGAAATCTCACGCTGGATTCCAGTTGCCGATGGCGGATTGGTGTCAACGTTCCATTCGGGCTCGTGTGATTCTTCCAGCGGTTGTGTTCAAGACCGGGTGAACTGTTCTTGGAATTCCTCAGCCCACCGCTCAATACGGCGATTGAGGGATTGAATTGCCGTTCCGTCTTTTTCGCATATTATCTCATTGACACCTGCCTTCTTTTGACCAGTTGATCGGATCAGTTGAAACGGGTCGCTGCTGTTGCCTGAAGCGAAAGCCTCCTCCATCTCCTGAGCCTTCAAAATTCGCTCGCGTTCTCTGTCATTCTTTAAGCTCGTGATTATCCAGTGTTTGAGGGACCTGCGTGCGCCATCGTAGTCGCTAGTTCCTGGTATGGTCATTCTGGCAGCAATAAGATCTGCTGAAATCCAAGATATCCAATGCTCATAAAGGCGAGTCAAATGGGTTGGACAAACAGTTCTGAAATCCGACAGCATTGCTTCTTTAACTCGCTTCCGTTCATTCTCCAAGCAATCTTCGTCGTCCATATGACCGTGCGTTTCTCGTAGCTTTCTAACCAGATCGGCTTGATACTCTTCAGTTACTGAAACTTGTCGAAGCTGATGAACGGAGCTCCCTCTTTCGGCACGCATAGTGCTGGCGGAAAGCGAAGTGCTAAGCGGGCCCGCACGATGGCGTGATCAGAGCCAAGTTGCGTACCCCCAGAAGAAACGACAATCCTTAACTGAGGCTCTCTATCGGTAAATGATGGCCACATAGTCCAACTGAGTCCACCACTGTCTTGTGGTAGGTGGACTCCAAGTAACTCGGTGTGTGCGTCTGTGTTGGAAGTTCGCAGTGGACAGGAACAGAAGATGATCTGCACACAACTGAAGCAGCCGCTCTCCATTATTCGTACCCTCAGCATCTACTCCAAATCGACCACCTAACTGTGTTGCTTCCGGACTTAGTCGTCCAACTTGGACATTCACATCACCCGCCAGGATTACCTATATCCGTCCTTCTTGCCGACCCAAACAGTCGTGACAGATCTTAATAAAATTCGTCCCTCTCAGACCCTAAACTGCTATCTTTTGGGGCGTACGCTGATACGACAAACAAACACCGTTTACCACATCGACCTGCGTTAAGCTTAATTGAGCCGGACAACCGCACAGCGCAAAGGCGACTGTTTACTGGTATCCAGTCCAGTAAGCCGCTTTCAACCTCGGTGGGGCTGAGCGCAACTTCTACACCGTAGATGCCATGAGTTATTGCGCCAGGATCACGGGATGCCCGAAGAGTGAAATGTGGAAAATCTGGGCTCGTCCCAAGCGGCTTGATAAGCACGGTTGAAGTGGGGTCTTGTATGTGTGTTTCGGAGACACAACGTACATCGATAGAGAGGGACAGTAAGATTTCCCCAAAGGAATGCTTGTTGCCCAATTTGACATAGAGTGCGGACATTGAAGGCTGAAAAGTGGTTAGTAGGTGATTATTTTGGTTTATTTTTCTCAATGATGGCTGAAACACGGAACAGTGGCTAGGGAATCGGCAGACGGATTGATACTTCCCGGTTGCGCAAGCCAAAGGGGGTTGGGTAGAGGTAACTCACCTTAAGCCTTTGACTCAAAAGTCTGACCCACAAGACAGCTGGAAGATGTAGGGCTCTGTTCGGGGGCCATGCCTTAGCCTCTGATTCAAGTGTGGACCGCGAGACAGTGTTTGTTAGGGTTTTATTAAAGGACTCTCCCCGGAGCCAATGACGAAATAGTCTGACCTACTTGGCTGGAGAGGGCCGGCCTGGCCCGAGGGCGCAGGGAGTAGGGCATTACTGTCTCAATCCTGATGCGGCTGCACACAGCAGGTGCCTTTTGAGAAGCATCGGGCTCTTTCGACCGTAATGAGTAATGCGCCGGCAGTCACTGTCAACCGTTGGGCGATCGGAGTGTGTGGTTTTTAGGGCCGACCTTTTCCAACCCATCCTTCCTCGGGGGAAGGCAGCATCGCTGCTTCCATGAATATAGACATGATGGTTGCCTAGGGGAAACACCTTAGTGTCTTCACACTCCTATCGCGAAGACAGTACAACTTTACCTCCAGACCTCCTTGTAATACGACTGCTTGCAGTACGAGGACTCGCCGTTCTTCGTCGGGCTGCTCCCAGTTAACCCTCCTGGCATGGTTAACCTGTAGGAACTGAGTTCCAGCCAGCATAGCCCACAGGATTATTGCAGCACAGAAGCCAGACCACCACGACAAGGTGACAGCTTTAGGTCGGGTGTCATTGTCCTGAACTTGCTGCATAACCTAGACAGTGAATGGACACGTGGTTAACCCTGAAAACCCGGTTTGTCAGTCACCCTGTCACGGTCATGTGGATCTCATCATCATTCATCATCGACAGCATGACATCAGTGTTCAACACTGATGCCTCACTGCCGTGCGTGCGATTAACATGTGAATCTTGTTAATCGCATAATCGAAGAACCGAATCTAGAGCTCTTGTGACTGAAAACACAATACCCAAATCAATCTCAGTGTAGGCAAACAATGAAGACACGGGATAAAGGTTCGATAGCTCAGAAATGCATGATGTTTCCTGAGTTTTTTTAACCTTATATTCAGTTATTAGGCTAATAGCCATCAGGACTTTTGAAACTGAATTCTACGCAAACAAAAATCTGTCATGCCTTATGGAAGGTGCTTTTACTCAGCCAGCATTACTACAAGGTTACTTCTGCGGGATGTTTCGGAAGTTATGAACACTTTGGAAATCGCTTAGAGTGGGTCCAACCACTTCTATGTCCACGCTCCTTGTTTCGACATCACGTTCCGATGAACGAATAAGTACTGAGTGTCTACAACAGTTGTTTCTTCTCACATGATCCTGCACTAAGCCATACAATATTCCCCTGCTTACCTCCACAGCAAATCGTTCCGCTGCGGCATACCTTCGGCGTATATCTGTCATGCAGCCTGAAGAATGAGGACTGAAATATTGCCGGGTTGTCCAAACCAGGACAGCAATGCAGCAAATACACTATACACATCTGGAACAACTTGGAGTAGCATACCAGCTTTCAAAGCTACATTTAAAAAGGATACCCCTCTCCTAACAGTAACGTCAGCTTATCGCTCATGGATCACTCAATCCTACTAGAGAAAAACAAAGCCAGTTTACACGACTCGTGAGGTAGCTGAAAACTCTTCGAAAGCCAACGACCGATTACACACTTCTTGGGGCTCATTAGGTAGACTCAATCCTCGAGTTTATATGGTTAAGAACATCGTAAACAGAGATTTAGGTGGGTTTAAGGTGAGTCTCCAGACAAAACCAGGTTACTTCTAGGAAGGATGGAAGCAACATGAGCTAACCGACCACAATTCATTGACAAACATTCAACAAAAATAGGTCGAAGTATACTTCTTTGCCAGTCCTCAATATCTCCCGCGCGCTGACGATATATTTGCTACTACTGACTGGAATGACAGCCATCCTTCAGAGGTGCGCATTAACGATAAAAATAGAATCACCAATTAGGTGGTCATCCACATAGTTTCGAAATGCATTGTCCACGACGTGATATAAAACGTGCGATGAATACGCCCAACAGACAAGAAGTGGGAGAAACATTCTTTCCTTGAAAACTATCTGCTACCGGCTACCTAGGTGTGCACATGTACCCCATCAATGAGAAGTAGTGCGACTCATGTCTTCCATTAGCTGAATAGGCACCAAAGGCGAACTCATGTCCTGAATCGCCGATTTGCTGGAATATATTAAATGGTCTGTGTATGCAAAACTCCAGTATACATCATTAAAGGGTCAATTTAAAACACTACGTTTATCAGGGTCTTGAAGAACTAAAAAGCAAAGCTCGTCCATTCTTTTTCCACGACAAAAAATAGTGAATAAGTCCGTTGACGTCACTGGGTTATTTTTCGGTAATAACCACACGATGCAATCCCCTGATCTCCATGAGTCAAACAAATAGGCGTCCGTTGAAGGTTTGGTGCAAACGGGTGCGGTCAGTCAGATGGACGTCGAGTTGACGCTGCGATTGAAAAAGTGTTCCCCACTACTCGTAGCAAAGCAGTACCATACATCATAACCACGCATTTCCGAAACAAAAACAAAGTAATCAGATTAACTGTAGTTAAAAGTGCATAATTCATGGTCCAGTAATTGACACTGGCCAGAAATGCTCTCCAATTAAATCGGACTAGAACTAGTGCACCACTGTTGGGAAGATCCATTTTCTTCGATACACTCATCAATTTTCGGAGGGCGTTAGCCAGGTATTGTAAGAGGAATTAGGGAAAATCTGGGGCTGATTTTTATTGCCTTATCTAGTGAAAACAAATATTGGTTCGGATAACGGGAGGCGTACAACGAGGCCACTGAACGAAGGCTTACGATGCGAGCACGTTATAAAAAAATCGTATGGACAAATATGAACAAATACAAACAAATACATGAAAAATACTGTTCGTGTTGTGACAAGTGCAAAGAAATCCTTGCACTAATGGTATCTTATTCGAATATAGGTTGGTCTTCCATACAAACAGGTGTAGTGTTTGCTTATTTCCAAGGTATGTTGTGATTGCTAGGGGTGAATGAATTCGCTGCTAGTATTTCTTAGTATGTGGATTAACCGGATCGACCGAGTTTACTTGCGTGAGTATATGTGGCTTGACTGAGAGTGTGATCGAGGTTCAGCACGGTGGCATCAACGTAAAGACTGTGATAAGGATTCAGACTTCTCTAATGTTACATTGCAAATCACTTTGCAAAGAGCATTGAGTTTGAGTTCCTCCCTCCCAAAGGTATTTCTTCAGCTTCTCTATTCGAATGTTAGCTATCATGCTGAAGATTGTTACAGTAAAATATTCATTCAACGGCCCAGAAACACGTCTTGTAGGGTAATACACCGGTGGTGAGCGGCACTTAACTTCTATACGACCAAACATCGGTAATGTACGCACAGAAAACGCTCTAGAACAAGTTGGGCTTCATAGAGCTCAGTGGTTAAAGTGCGAACCTACTAGCCGGAAGGTCTGGGGTTCGAACTCAACACGGACTGCTCCAGTTTATGCTTGGGCAACCATGCAGTATTTCGGCACTCATGCTCCCCTCGGGTGACATGGCAGACAGGCACAGATAGCGTGTAAGCGCTGAACGACAACTGCTAGCACTGTTACTATCATTATTATCTGGAACAAGTTCCCCACACCTTCAGATAACAGTGAAGCATCGCGCCGGGAAAAGATGAAATCAGCAGGATTGACACAGTGCCCTTAGCGAACACCATCCAACACATGATAAGTGAACGACGGACAAAAGCTAGTTTGGTAGTCAGGCTAGTTAGTGACAGCATGCTCGCTACTCGCATGGATTACGTGCCATGCCTTGTAAGGTCTTCAACCACGTGCGCGAGGTATCACGCGGAGATCGCATAAAATTTCGCCAGGCAGTAGCAGCCTCCAATTTGCACTGTCATGTGACGGCCTGTTCCCAACGGAATTCACGCCATCGAGGGCTGGAACTGAAAAGCAACATTTTCTTTGATTGTCAGTGGTTGGGCACGTGCAGACATGTTCAAACCACGTCAACTTGACTGGCCTCATTTGCACCACCCGGGATTCTCATTTGTCACTAAACGTTGGCTTGAATACCATTTCACCGCGGTCACGATACAATCAGCTAAACCCTCCTATACTAGGAAGGCACGGGGATCAACAATTTGAAGACCGACTACAAGCAAGTAAATCTCTAAGTGGAGGGAATTCAGGTGCCACTATTTTGTGCTACCGTACAGTCAGAAGTCAATTCTGGAGGTCGGACGAGGCTCAAACCTGAGACAGAAGGTGGTCCTCGAGTGTCCATCATTGTACTGGCGGTTTTCTAAGCACTCCATTTTGAAATTGTGGATTTCCACAGCAACCTGAGCTCACGAAATCACCTGCCTGAAACGTACGATCAAGTGCCTTAAGAAGCGGAGTCCAAAGTAAGAAACCCCAAGTGACACTACTCGGACGACTAATTAGCTCGGACAGTGTAGATAGTGGCAAGAACGGAAACGACATTTGGTACGTATTGTGTTCATACCAGTCGAAAAAACTGGATGATTTGCTAAAAAAAATAATCACTGGCAACCCAAAAAATTTGTGTTGCTTTCCACGACTTAGTACATCGATGTTGGATCGTACACATTGGTCCCGAAAAAAGCCTCATGAGAACCTCTTTTCCAAGATTGCTCCAGTTGGATCGGCCGATTAGTCGCAGACAACGGGTCCCTCCTCACTTAAACAACCAGAAATGCTTGACAAAAGATGCAGCTAGACCCTGACTAACCAATACCAGCTAGGTGGACAAGTGAGTTGACGTCGCCAGTTTCAAAGGTACGTACACAAGACCATCACCAGATTGGCTTTGTGCGAGATTACTGGTGCTTTCATAAATCGGTGGGAAATCGACAGCATAGACTGATCACCTGATCCATGAATTGCGCACCCAGAGGCTATAACACAGAAAAACAATCGACGACGTGGCGGAGCTCAGCACAATATTTCCGCAACTACGTGGAAAACCTATAACTGAGGTACGACAGAGTGAACAAACGCATAACTACCTCTCCATCCCAAATTCGCTGCTATCCACATGATGCCGCTGGTGTATTCGAACGAATACCAATAAAATGCTCGTCGGGTTTTGTGTCCGTTTGCGGTGCCGACGGACTGATATCGAAAAAGATGCTTTTTATTCAAAATCGTCTGGATTCATTCAGAAAGCAAGAAGCACTAGCACTGTGATTTTCGAGGGCGATATGAAAGACCAAAGTAATCTTTTGAGCTTCTCGAAATCACTTATGGGTGGTCTGTTCGCTGTCGATGCTCTTCGTACTGACAACTCAAAGCAACTCCTTCAATTGTGTGTTGATCAACAACCGTTTCCCGCCAGTACGAACTTTCAGTATAAACGTTCGCATCGTGTAACCTGGCGATCACCGACTGCGAATCAGCCGTGGAGCGAGTTGGATCATGTAGCCATCAACCACCGGTGGATAGCCACCATTCAAGACTGCCGTACCTTCTGCAGCACAAAACTTGATTCCGATCAAGCCATTGTACACGCACGCCTGACGGTTCCTTTCCCTTCAGCAAGAACCACGCCAATCCAGCAGCTCCGAAGAGCCATCATAGATCAACAGTATCGATCTGGGCGAGCTCAACAACTCCCTACTACCAGGAACCAATACTGTGTTGGTAGCGAGAACGTGGATGGCACGTGGAACTATGCTAGTGGCATTCAGTGCTGTCTGTCCAACTTACTCGATACAATCAAATGACCACTGGATATTATCAAGATTCCTTGTCCTGAAATCCGTACTGCCCGCCGAGTACGGGGCATGCAAATGCGTAAAACACCAGTAAGGAGCCTAAGGAAGGTCCGAGAGCTTTGGAAAACATCAAAAGCTCGGGAGATGGAGGGGACTTTGGCTACTGAAAACAGTCGTGCCCTATAGCAACTGATACAATCGACTGGTCCTAGGAAAGCAACGGTCACTCAAACGATTAGTGAAAAAGCCGGTTCATCAATTCACTTGCAAAAACGTCGACTGGGAAGAAGGACCAAACACTTCGAAGAGCAGTTTAGCTGGCCTGCTACAAGACAATCGGTGGAGATGGTGCACACGTAGGAATGGAATGTAAGGATTAATCACTCGTCGGAAGAAAAAAGGCAAAAAATATCGGTTGTGAAACGTGAGAAGGTACCAGGACCGGACGGTCTGTGTCCAGCCCTCTCCAAAGAAGTTGCGAATCCCTGGTAAACAATCTAGCAAGGCTCACTGGTGCGATATGAACAGGTGTCTGCAGAATGGGGCATGTCGATAGTTATTCCTACCTTTAAAAAGGTTACGCCGATGCCGTGTGAAAACCACCGTAGCATCGAAGGTGCTCTCCGGACTTATCCCTCGAAGGTTAACTGAACACAGGGAGAGACGGATCCATGAAAAACAAGCTGGGTTTTGCCGTCATATTCTGAATCTCAGTGAAACCAACAGCCATGTAAATGAGTGTGAACAGCGAGAAAGAGACTAGTAACTGTGGAGTGTTGGTTGATACCCGGCAATATGTACAGAGTGTACTAATCGAAATAGTTAGACAATCTAATCACCAAAATCACCCTCCATATATAGGCCACAGGACACTTCCCAAGATGTGCCGGGAATAGACACCAACGACATTTTTGTTGTCACTCGCTACAAGGGTGATGTGAATGAGTGTAAATGTGGACACCTTGGTGGGCTCACATTGGATCTCTTTTCCACCCCTTGTATTTTTTTACAGTAAAAACATGGGGAAATTACGACGGTACGGCGGTGAAACATCGATACTGTTCGCTGGACGATGCTGATTACGATGATGGGGAAGACGATGTTGATGTTAGTAATCATGACGATGGTCAAGTAGTTAGCACAGGCTGCTGACTCTCCTTGAGATGATGTATGCCAACTCCCGCGGACGTATGAGGGCTTACGGGAAGCTCTCATCTGAGTCCACCACATTAAGTAGTGTCAGGTTAAGCTGTCACTTTTCACCTTTCCTCCTCAAATTCATCACTGATACGATTATGGAAGACTAATTAGCAGCCTCACTAGCCTCTATTTCAAACTATTTCCTTGAATGCACAACCAGCTCCCAATCCCCTCAATGAAAAGCCCACCGACCACCATGTATTTACGCATCAGTTATATCAGCCAGCCCACTTCACCAAATCATCGCTGGACGAAACTGTGGAAGTTATAACCATTGTATGGCAAGTACACGGACCTTACAGCTGAGGATGATGGTATGGAAAGGAAGAACGGAAATACTGCAAAAATACCAAGAATTGTGCAGCAATCAACAGCGAAATAAGTGGACGGATAAAAAAATGCCTTTTGAAGAGAATTGCGATCTGGTCTCAGAATTCTGGATTTATAGCTTAATACGTGTCATCCCCATCCACTAACCCGTCGTTGGTATTAGACTGACGGTGACCACACAAATTTGACAATGACACATCCGATCTCTTCGACGGTACGTTTCATAGGGAATTCACAAAACCTAAAATCTGGTATTTTGGGGGTTCTGTTTACGTGTAGTGCCCTAAAATTGCTAGGGGTGGTCTTGGTAACAAAACTGCATGATGGTCACGGAACGCGACGAAGCGTGAACCCACCAACCATACACCATTTGAGAAGTAACGAGACGTAGGGTAGAAGTTATGTGTGGAGGGCAGAGGGTAACATCACTGCGGTGCATTGTGACGAAAACGGCTGTTTTAGAGATGACAGCCATACACGCGTGGGTTCGGCTGAGTCGACAGCTGAGACGACCTACAAGCACTGAAACAAATGGGAGGGGCAAATGCGCGCTGACTCATACACATGAGGAAGCCATAAGAATGGATTGCCATCGAAGAGCCAGGCCAGTAACCTCGCCAGACCCATTGGACGCAATACAGACACATGTGCAGGACACACGTCGAAGCGACGATCGTGAAAAGACAGGCATACACACAACCGGAGCGACAACACAGCTCGACCAATGAGCAACAAGAGAAATCAGGCACGGACGCACGCGTGCATGCCAGCGCGCACTGGATGAAGACTAGACCGTAAACCAGGTCAATGTCGACCTGCATACTACAGAAATCAATGCTGTCAGGTTTAACGCAAAATTAACGACCAAAATGAAACCAAAGATAGTGAGCGCGAAAGGCAAAATCGACTTGAAGACACCACCAAACGTGATTGCTGAACTAATGAGAGCATGAAAGACAGAGTGCAACAGGGGACACAATAGGTTCAGGTTTTTGGAGGAGACCAACCACACGCTTCTGAAAATTGCTACCTAACTCGTACGGCTGAAGCGGAAAACTAAGTGCAAAGTTTAAAGCGGTGATCTGGTCGATAACTAATACTGAATAGTCAAGATACGGAGAAAATCTTAATGCCCTTAAACACGTCACGCTAACTAGTCAAATCGGAGTGGGAAAATGCCAAACCATTGATCATAAAAATGGAACGCACAAAGCAAGAATAAACAAATCTTTCGATCGTGACTTACTCTCAGAAAATCTAATTGATTCTGTTGCCGCCATATAGGATCACAGATAACGAAGGATGTGGAGCCTGTAAACACACGAGAGTTTACATGAAAAGGCTGAGAAAAACTGGAAGAAAAATCAAATGCTAGTTGAGCATCTTCGCAGGAAATAAGATGAACAGAATTTTTTCAACAGTGACTATCGCAGACCAATTAGGTGGAACAACTTTCGTTCCCGCTGACTGACTAAGCCCAGTCCATCACAGCGGAGAATCGTCCTCGAAAAAACAGGTCGATGGATTTGGGCTAGAAACTCCCTCAATGGGACAACAAGGCGTGTTTTTCGCTTATTATTTGAACTACTCATTGTATACTAGCGTCCATCGCATCCCAACTTTTAGATACGCGTTCTGACAGGCACGACATCACAAGCATCAGTCACCGGTGTGGTTAGTTGACCTGCATCAGTGGCCAAATACCACCACGTGTTTTAGGCGTTTCGCACATCTCACAGAGAACATCGGACTTCGAATCGAAGAATGGACGTGTGGAAAGTGAATAAAAGTATGTACAATATTGAATTTTTGTGAGAAGGTATCTGGATACTACTTTATTTGATGGTTGGAAAATGGTGGGGAAATTGTATTAGGAATAACCAAAGCAATGACCGCCGCCAAAATCAACCAGCAGCCTAAAGATGACAGGACACCTGTACAGCGAGTCCCAGTGGTTCAGTGATGGAGGATGGCACGCATATGCTAGTGAATGAACCAGTTGACAAGGCTGAAAAACACATAAGAGGTTAGCAAAAACAGTACTTGCGAGATGAAGATAACAAGACAGCTCAGGGATCCGTGAGCCCTGGATCAAACAAGGTTACTTTACAAAAGCTGCCAACCAAATATGCATTAATAATTAGAGCGGGATCACCGACTAAGTTTGAAAGCTTTCGCAATGAGTGATAGTGTGTTCAGCAGATTTGGGCTAGAGATCGAATTACGAGGAATGGTCTCCGGTGAAGTGTGTTCCAGTGGGCGTGATTACCACCGCTTTCGGAACAGCCTGGAACTTCGAGAAAGTTTATGCTTTTGAGAGCCAACGCATTCATAACTTCAAAATACTGACGATCATAACCCTGGAAACTATCCGTGGGTATTTTGAGATAGGGTGATTCGATTGCTCAGGACAGTGCCACCGCTAACTACGCTAACCGGGTTATTCGGGCAGTTCGTGCTGAGTGTATCCGCGTTTCCCAGCATGAGTACGCGCTTTCCACTCATATGAGTTACATGCGTTGCTGCTGTCTGGTTTGTTTTATATACTCAAAAACAGTCAGTGAATCATGCGTGAGGGCAGCATGCTTGGCTTTCCTGCCCTTGAAATGGTCATTCCTGCACTTGAAGTGGACAGTATGGTTCTTGAATTTGCAGTTCCTTCAGTTGAATCTGAACTGTCATAGATGGGTAATGTAGGGTTTCACAGAAAAAGGACTCACTAGCTCTTAACTTTTCAAAACTTCAGTGGTGCCAAGTAATAAGTTACCTGTTACCGGCGGCCTGAGGAACCATGAATTCGAGATGAACGTTGATGGACAGCTGCAGCTTAAGGACTAAATAAAGTGAGATATTATTCTTGCAATAGGACATCTATAATGAAAGGAACCGACAGACCTTTGTGCAAAGGTCACTAGCTCGATTCATACGGTTACTGATCGGTCCTGTGCTTCAGCAGATTTGATGAACACGAGGTGCAAGCCCATAAGTACTGGCAAGAATTTCTGGTCAATAAATACAAGGATATACTGAGGTCATTAAAGGAAAAGAAACGCCAAATGGAGCTTATCCGATAAGATGGATAGTTGTAGCACCACTTACTGTCATCATAAACGCCAACGGTAGCCAGAAGTAAGCTGAGTAAATTTTTACAGTGCGAAAGTCGGATACACGTGGCGACACCCGTTGGAGACGGGCTGATGGACAGCGCCAGAAGTGAGTTTAATGCGACATCCACTTCGTTTGGGAGACCTGATTCGAGGGCCAACTCAGCAAGACGCAATTCAGTCAGATCGCGTAGCCTGGTGGGGTCATTCAGACCTGAACCACCGATGTAGCCAGTGCGGTCTGATCCAGATGCGCCTTCGGAAAATTCTGAAAGTCGGATGCTCATTGACGGGGGCTGCCACGATGGATCCTGGAGAGAAGGAACAAGCAACACAGTTGGAACATCAAAATGCTGCAGTAAAACTCTAGACAATCAGTGCCAAGCTAATGAATCAGTGTCTAACGATCAAACACAATTGTGAGGAAACAGGCGAACAGTAAATAGTGTACGATTTGTGCAGGACAAGCTACTTCATTAGACAGCTCCATTACTGATGACAGTTGGATTAACGAGTATCATCTAGTCCAAATCACCAACCGTGTGAGTTAATGTCTTATAGGGATCAGGTCAGGCGCGAATCCAGATAATAATAATAATATTATTATTATAATAACAATCGTTTTCGGTACATAGCCGCCATGTCACCCGAAAGTACGAGGGCTGAGATACTAGTTTGTTGCCCACGCCAAGGTAAGAATAGTCAAAACGTCGGTTGGATTTGAACCCCGAACCTTCTGGAAAATGAGTAGGCGCACTAGCCGCTGAGCCATCTCGAACTAGCGAAATCAGATGACGAAGTGAACAATCTTTTTAGTCCTAATGAGGAACTCTAGTCAAAACATGACGTCCGATCCACCACAAATTTGCCTTACCCACCTCGTCGAGCTATGTGTGGCGCTCTGCAACTGTGACGGCCATCCCTATTCTACCGGTATAAGTATAGTCAGTGATCTTCAGAACGTGTCTGTGGTGTACTCATTCCCTCTCGTTTTTACCGCCACACCGGAATTCGTAAAATAAATCGGTGATTCCCGATAGTGCGTGAACTTCTGTTTATTAGTCGGAGGTAAACAGATGCCAAGAGGACGCAAGAACCAATACATTCAATCAAATATTAAATACGAAAAGCTACCTACGAAACAACTTAGGCGTCTTATAAGAGTTAAATTCTGTCTTCCTTGCGCACACTTCCGGCTCCAGCCACATGAAGAGAGCAACAGCTAGAAACTGCTCGTTATATCCCACCGCAAAGCACCCCCACACACTCAATCCATTATTTCCATAAGGATTTTACAAGATAAATAGGTTTGACTGTAAAGCAGTGACACCGACGATCAACAGGGATGTCCGTGTGACGATCGCAGTCCCGTACCAGTTTGGTCAATGGTTAGAGGTCTGATGAACCCAGTCTCCTGGCCCTCCAGGTTGGGGGCTGGAACGTGAGTTCCGTATAAAATAGTGATACACTTGCATTTCCCGCCAAACACCGCTGACTTGCGACAAGGCCTTCGATCCAAAGGATTTGGCTGAGGAACCTAATCGTCCTCCTGTCTAGGTGTGGGCGCCCTGGCGGTATTCTAACTCACGTACAACCATAAACTGCACATATGCAAATGAACTCTTGCAATATCAACCGTCGAGTGGTGCCGTCAGCCGGGTCGCATTACTCGCTGCATACAGCAGGGTGGGTAAGCGAAAACATGCTACTGCTGACGCGTTCCTTCTTTCACTTTCACATACTTTTTCTTCTCCCTCTCCCCATCCCATTAATAACTCTGTCCTTGTAGGCGCATCACGTAAGACTGATGACCCCATCCGCTTATGCAAACAACATCTGCACGTCATAGGGCGCCGACATCCTCAAGCATCTCGAAATCAATCCTCAAGCGTCGACGCCTAGTCTATCTGGCCGCCTTGAATGTGCGCACTCCGAAGTAAGCGGGACAATCAGTTGTTCTTGCTCTCACAGTGGACTCACTTAGCATTAATGTGATACAAGCCGTGGCCGAACTAACCGCCCCATCGCTCTCCACTCGCTCTCGGCTGCGCAAGTCTGGCGATCCAGAGGCTGCTGTGGCAGGATGTGCAGTGGTTGGTATCGTCCCAAGTCAATGGGGGGAAGGACTCTGGTTTGACTGGATACTCGTTGATAGTCGCTTCTGTGCGGCTAAACTGGCAAGGGGGAAGTTGATTGATGTCTGTTTGTCGTGTCTGCTTACGCCCCAACTGATTGTAGCTCTGACACCATCAAAGACAAGCCTTGACGGCCTGAATGCCCTTTTGCGGCGAGCTAAAACCTCAGATGTCGTGGTGATTGTGGGTCTGAACGCAAATTGGGCACGCTTAGCACATCTGAGACTCAAGTAGGTGGTTGACATGGACTGAACTCGGTACGTAGGGATAATGGTGAACGATTGCTCCAGCTGTGTGCTGCTTGCAGGATGTTTTGTGCAGTACTAACTTCCGAAATATCCGAAATCGTCTGGCCACATGGTGTCTTCCAACGGCGTGCCAGCCACGAACTCAAGTCGATCACGTTGTCATCAGTTACCGATGACGCGGATAAGTGGATAAGTAACTGAGTGGCGGTCGTTTTGGAAAACATATGGATTCTGACCACGCGCTCGTCCGAAATCGCTCCTACCGTCGTTTTTCAGTACTGCATAAGGTGTGGGAAAGTCACCTGGCAACTGAGACTAGCAGATCCGGATGTTAGACAGGTTTACCAGAATCGTCTTCTGGAGTCTTCCAAATGATCCACTATCAGATGTGAATTCATGCTGCAATATTGGGGGTTTTGCTCGTAGCATGGCGCTACCATACTCACTCAAACACTGGATATCTGACAGGATAGTGTCACTACCTAAATCTCGGGGAAATATCCGAATATAACTTAACGCGACGAAATATCAAACGCAAACTGAAAGTTAGTGTAAGCGCCGATTGTGGAGTCTGGTGGACACAGGAAGCCAAGGAAACTGATAAGTTAACGCGTAAACACAGCACTGTATGTGGACTGTTAAGTGGGGGGATTGGGAAGGGAGCTACGCATTGAAGGCAATAGCTTGGATGCACGAGCGCCATTGAGGGCGCGACTGGGCCATCAAAACATGTCCTGGAAATCTGTGAACATACTAATTTCATTGCATTCTCAGACTTCCGGACCGTCCGGTGTCCGTCAGGGGTGCACGCTCTCTCCATTCCCATTTAACTTCGTGAGTGATGAGATAATGAGACAAACGCTACATCTTCAAAACCACCGTGTTCGAATAGATTGTGACGAAAACCTTGTTGATCTGGAATCGCTATCGTCTTCGAAGAAGAGAAGGTGCAGGTGTTGTTGGATGAACTGGTCAAAGTCATCCCGTCCTTTGGAACGCACTTTGCACCCACAAAGTGTAAGGTCGTGCTCCTGGACACGCAGCTACTAAGCATGCAGGCAGAGACACTCGAAGTTACACGTACCTTGGAAGTTGCATTAGCTCTGATTGTAGTGTGATAGATGAAGTCAATGCACGAATCTGCAAGACTTGGGTCCCGATCACTAATTTAAGATACCTATGACGGCTGAATCTCGAGGGCAAGTGTATCAGGCAACAATGCGGGCAGTCTGTTATATGACTGTGAGACTTGGTCTGTTCGAGTAGCGGAGCCCAGACGTCTTCAGGTATTCGACAATCTTTGTCTCAGGACCATAGCTCGTGTAGGTTAGTGTCGGAGAAACCGTAACGATACAATTAGAGAGTGAGTTTTCGTGTGTGCAACGGACACTTCCATTGAAGAACGTGTCCAGCAACAGGGGCTGTTTTGGTTAGGTCATGTATTGCGTATGTCAAACAAAAACAAAAAATCATTCAGCTGTAGCACCCCTTTGGTGTCTGACTGCCATGCCACCCGGAGGAAGCGCAGAGCTGGGATACTGCCAGGTTGCCCAAGCCTAGACAGAGGAATTCGAGAGACAGAGGTCGGGTTCGAACCACAGACCTTTCGGTCAATAACTGTGCGCTCTAACCACTGAAACACATCGTCCCCAAACCATCGTTTGCCAAAGAGAGTGCTGTTTTCCGTACCCAATTCAGAATGCCGGAAGCACAAAGGTGGTCACACCTTGAGCTGGTAAAGGGGTATGAAAGAGATTACTCGCCCACCAAGACGGGGACCGCGGGATCCCCATTGCGCTACAAGATAGGGCTGCTAATCGATGTCAATGGCGTTACTGTTATCAGTTTCCATCCAGATTGTTTGAATGAGAGTTTGGAAGTGTAGGCACCCCGGAATGATTGTTGTAAGCTAGCACTAAGTTCACTTTTATCCTTCTCTTCACAATAAGACTGAAATAAATTATGGTTGCACGGCAGTGAAGCAGCAATGTTGAACACTGATTTCATTCTGTCCATGATGATGGCCACGACTAACATCTATGAAGATCTGCGCATGGACCGTCTGAACTGAGGATACTATTAACTTGGTTCGAAATTGTTGGTGGATGGGACCGGTACTCCGATTCATTCACCACTGATCTACCCAGCTAAACGAAAATCAAACATTTCACGAATAGCCCGTTATAAACTGGTCAGTAAGACAGTAGAACCTAAAAAATATGACGAAGCTCCGTGAGAGATTTCAAAGACAGTGCCCACCATCAACAAGAAGACCTGAACTCAGATGCCTTGATTTCCAGATGAGAATTTCCGTCATGTTTGGCGACCGAAATTTGTGTGAACAGTGGTAGGATAAAATATGCCAAAAGTTGTTTTTGTAGGAATCTTAGGGAACTGACGAACACATCTGTATATCGTTGTCCAGACATCCCAAAGGCTGGGCACCACGTCAGTTATCGGTCATAAGGGCTGAATTCAATAACGTTAGTAAGTTCGATGTAGAAGACGAAGTAGAAGACTAAAAAACGGAAACCAGTAACCCATTGAGCAACGCACAACCAAACTACAAGAACACAAGCCAGAACAAACCTGGATTGCGGATAATCCACGGTAAGAACCTCGACCGATTCCATCCAGTGTGTCCGCATAAGAATAATGGTTGGAATGTGAAGAGTGGCTTATGCCATCAGGATGAGCGATTCCCAAGTTCCGCTCCACAGAAGTAGCCTGGGGGCAGATCGAATCCCCATCAACAGGGTCAGAAGGAAATTCTGTGTAGTTCTGAGCAAGATAATTTTCAGTCAGGCTCGGATACTCCTCAAATTCCACTTTAATAAGGAACTGATGGTAAATACGGCGAAGACCGATGCCAGCGTTTGTACATCCATCAGGCAGCTGCAGCTCACTGGCCACATCGGACCACAATCGCTTATCACAGACCATTCGATATCCCCCTCGGACCACCACTGCCGTAAAAAGTGCTGGTAACTTGATCGGGTGACCCAAAATCCGTGGGGTAAAACGACCACATTTCCTAGTAAAATGCGATTAGGTTTGAGTTGAGTCAAACTTACCTCTGAATTTTTCTTAGTACATCAGCAGCGCCAACCTCTATGTCCCGACTCCGTAGTACCTTAGCGAACAAACCTGGACAGCTAGCAATTCGCTTTTGTCTGTTCATCCCCTTGTGGCAAACTCATAGCACGTAGTGGAACGTATCCTGTAAAGAGAACAGCCTTGAAACAACGCGAAAAGTACGGGGGTAAAAGTAACTGCGATTCGCAATAGAACTTACTGACTTGTCGTTGGTGGATGCGAAACTGATTACTATAATTCATTGCAAACAGAATCACCAAATAAAAAACCAACATCCTCATTTTGGACACAAGTCGAGGCTGCTCGTACATTCTGCCTTCATACGATTGCCGTGAGTCCCGAGAAAGGCCCTAAGTTACTCTTGCAGGCTTCAGCTGAAGTGGTATGCCTGTTGTGAACTGCAACTAGTTAACTGGGTAACGGGTGGGGATCAGGAAATGGGGAAGCTGCTAAATGTCCACCAGCCAGAGCCGCTACACTTCCCACATCGCCCTACATACCACGCTAATGAACAATCAGCCAAACAATGCAAATAAACCTCAAACACCACGTTTCTGCTTTAAGCGCTTGAAGCGTAGACGGCAGGCGAGTACGCTTGGGGATAAGAAGGCTCTTCAAAAGGCCCAAGACAAACGGGCCTTTTTCAACCTTCTATGGTCCATTTCTTGATAAGGACGTTAGCTCAGACGGGTGCCCCAAATCTCAACATTTAGTTCATGCAAAAGTTTGCTGTCGTAGAATTTCCAGGAAATTCCAGGAGGAACTTGGAAATGTGAGAAAACATTGGTTGCGGAGTATTGATTTATAGGAGTTCAACTTGCTCAGTGGACACCCATCGGTTTGAATGCGCTACGGCACTTTATGAAAGATATGGAAAACTATTGGGCGTATCTTACTTGCAGAGTATTGCTACATTCTTCATCAAGTAGCACTATCACCTGCCGGAACCCTATCAGTTTTTGTACTGGGGCACGCAAAACACGTTCGAAAGAATAGCCCCGAAAGTTATCGCGCTCAATCGAGACGCCTGTGTGAAGCATACCAATCCGTTCCCAGTGCTCATCACTGGAGGTCCCAAGGCTGATATGTGGAGGAAACATGTGCATTTAAGTAATACTTCTGATTCGGTGCCCATCGATTATTCAAGGGACTGTCTTTCGTGAGCAGTATAAGCACAGAAATGCATCCTCGGCTTGCGTCATTTAACCAACGTACAGTTTCACTTTACGTGGTGTAAAATTATTTTTCGTTGTTCTCTCCAGAAATCCGCGAGCTGATCCAGTTAGAGCCACGGCTTGACTAGAATTTGAGGTAGAAGGAAGTCAAAGTTCAAAGTGCCTTGACGTAACGCATAAGGTTGCCGAAATTTCTAACAGCCCAAGAACTGTTTCGTTTTTCTTGGTGGTAGGCGCAATCCCTTTGGGGTATTTTTGTAAGTGTATTTCGCCGACTGGGTACAAATTTGTACCGAAGCATATCGACACCACTGACAGCAATATACCAGTAATGAACACTCGTGCTTAACAGCCACACAACAATGGCCAAAGAAGGTCTCAGTAAAAAAGGAAACCTTATGTCCACAATGAAAACGATCAAGGGCAAGGTGCCTATACCTTTGGACAGCATTAAACTGAACACACTTGGATATCATGTCGGAGTAAGACACAAGCATTGGGACCAACCAAGCGTCCTTTGTGAACTTCATCTGACCTGAGCTCAGGGGACAACGACAGGCGGACTTTAGCTAGGCAGTCCCACTAGGAAATGACTGTATGCAAGCCAGGTCCTGCAGGGTTCCCAACAAGCAAGATCACATGGGCCATAGCCAGGAAGATGCGAATGCCGCACAGCACTCAGTTTAATACAAGCCACTTTCGTTCCACGCTATCGTGTAATGGCCTGTCCTCCGGGAACCTTCCACCAACAATCGATCGGAAAAGAGAACAACGCTTCTTTGATAGACGGTGGTTGTGCATACGAAAAACATACCCCATCCACCCCGACTTGGCGACTTTTATCTGTTGCAGACTGGTTGCAGCCAGCTTACTCTTGCTGTGCTACGGCGACATCAAACACTTAGGAACTCTCAAGTCCTCTCTTACAGTTTTCCTAACTGTTTATTCGTTCTGCAGTTTCGGAGAGGCGCAAGGGGGTGGGAAACCTTAAAGTAGGATTTTCCATTTTGAATGTGCAAAATGCACGCCAAAAGATGTATCACCTCCGATATTCTGTCTAAGGTGGCTTGCGCGGGTAAGTAATCGTCGTTCGCATAGTTCGAATCCGTCAATCTCTCCAAAGGTTATTCCTGTATCTAGGTTCACGATCCCTTGGGGCGTGCAAACTATGATGACGTCAATGGTAAAACGGAACAAAGCAGAGAGGGGGAAACCCTGAAGCGCCCAACTAGTTGAAAGGAAACTTCCAGACAGTTCCTTGTACACCCTAACCCGACCGGAGGTCACGGAGAAAGTCTATGAAATTCAAGAGCATACACCCCTGGCAAAAATTAGATAGGAGAGCTAATCTATCAACTGAGTTGAACGCCCTGTCAGGGATCGCGATTGTTGGTCGCCGGTAAGTGGCGCTACTCTGTCAGGAAAATGTGCTGTTATATAAGGAACATCGCACCAACTGAAACAAATCCTCCAAACAAACGATATCATATCGCGGTGTTTGCACCTCTATGACCCACGGAAACACAGCGGGGGTTACACCCGCAGTTTCAGGTAACAGGTTGGTCAGTCGACAGAGCTCTGATAAAAACTGCCTTCTGACCCTCCAGGATTGGCTTTGCAACTGGCAAGACGGCTTGCCTCTCACTAATTGTACTCTTGTAGTAATACGTCTAACCCCATCTACCGGTTTGTGGTCGGGCTACCGGTAAAAAAATCGTTCAGCTGTGACACCCTTGCTGTGCCTAGCTGCCATGCTACCCGAAGAAAGCACGGGAGCTAGAATGCAGCCAGGTTCCCCAAGCCTAAACAGGGGAAATCGAGAGGCAGGGGTCGGGTTCGGACCACGGACCATCTGGTCAGTAGATCCACGCACTTACCACAGCCACCTCGCCAAAGGCTTTAGCTGAGGATCCTAATCGTCCTTCCGTAAAGGTGGTGGGACAGTGTCCAGACTTTACAACCATGATCATCATCATCATCATCACCGACAGCATGACATCAGTGTTCAACACCAATGCTTCACTGCCGTACAACCATGACTTATTTGAAAGCCTTATTGTAAATAAAAGAATAAAGGTGGATGGGAAAGGGAATTAGTGCTAGCTTAACACAATCATTCCGAGGTGCCTACACCTCCAGGCATTCACTCAGGCAATCTGGACAGAAACTGACAACAAGAACGCCACTGACATCGGTTGGCAGCCATATCTTGTAGTGTCTCCAACCAGGCACAGTGAGGATCACGCGTTCCCCATCCTGGAAGGCGAGTAGCACCGACAGCACCCAAGCGTTTGGTGATCTTCATACTCCTCTGCCAAGTCAAGGTTTGGCCACCTCTCTGTTTA